TATAAACATAAATGTAGAAAAGGAGGACAGACTCCTGTGAGCGTCTTGTTGCCAGCTGAGAGTGGATGATTAAGATCTCATTCCACACTGTGTGTAAAACATAAGCCACCTGGGAAATCAGAGGGCGATTAGCAGACATGTTTCCACTCAGAGGAGTTGCTACATTGTTTGTTTCATTTTAAGTCAAATTTCTAGAGCTCTCGCTCTGGTTTTAGCCAAATGTTTAAGTTCGAGTAACTCTAGCAATTAATTTAGAGCAGTTAATGCTACAGTGGTGATGGTTACACAACGTTGGATAGATTGATGTCATTTTTATGCTATTTATTAGCAAATAAAGTCTAACAAATAGAAAATCCAGACTGTGTAGGGAACATTCTACATTGAAATAACTTTTTTAGTCAGTGCCACATTTAGAATGAAATCAAAATGTATTAAATCAGAAGTTGAGTTGGTTTTTGTTGGGTTTTTTGTTGGCTTCCTCGCGTCAAAGTGACGTCTGCTTGTCTTTTTTTGTTCTTAAATGTATATTAAATTCTCCTAAAATAGGTTATTGTGTAATAACACCAGCAGCAAGTACCTAACACGCTATATTTTCATTGTTTACAGTGGCAGGGCCTGCAACTTGTTTCACAAGTGTGGCTCACTGCTTGTTTTCAGTTGCTCTTTGAATTGAGGTCAACTCCCAGGTGGGATTGTTGAAATAAGAACACATTTTGAAAAAGTACTGTACTGTTTTTATGAAACAAAGGGGCGCAAAAAAACCCCAAAAAATTAAAAACAATTTAAGTTCCATTCACATGAAATCCCCGATTAGGTATATCCACATAGGTATTTTGTTGTTTAGATTCTTTCGTCTGCATGATTCAGGCGTTTAGGGTCAAATCTTTAAATTAAAATTTTAAATGTTGTATATATGCAACTACTATAGCTGTCAAAGAGAAATAAGAGTGTTAAAAATATCTATTTAACTAGAAAAGAAAAACACAGACTTTAAACAATAATAGAAAGTCTTAGTATTATGAATAAAATGATGAAGTCAAATCTTAATTTTTACCATCAATAACATGCTGAATATCTGAACACTGATGTTTGCAACTTTATTAATAAGAACCATTGAGTTTAAAACACTGGGGCTTTTCACCAATCTTATTAGAGCTTCTTTTCATCTAAGCTTTAGAAATCTTCATCTGTGGTCTAAGGTGGCAGGAGACACTATAAGAAACTTTTTAAAACCAAGTCAATTATATAAACCAACAGTCCCCTATCTAAGACGGTGACACAAGACAATTCCTAGCTGAGATCAGGAGAAAAATTAGGCAATACAAAAGATGGAGGTAAAAATATTTAATGGAAAAAGCTTTTTAAATTATTGCCACTATCTGATAGAGGAAGAACAAAGTGATTCCCATGAATTGTCAACAGACACACTGTTCAACTGCTTGTCCTAAACTAGTAACAAAACAACCTTATAACTAGTTGTGTAAATTTGCAAACAGTTGCGATTTTTCTGGTCATTTAAGTCATGATCCACCAGTATGGGATCTTAAACATTACATAAATAAACATTTATGTAAAGTTAATAAAGCTCTACAAGCCTCCCTTAAAAATAGTCAAAACCAGCTACTTTGGATTTCGAGGTCATTTATATTATTATTATTATTATTATTATTATTATTATTATTATTATTATTATTATTATTATCATTATTATTACCCAAGGTTATTTTATTTGTAGATGAGTTTTTATACTCCACCAATAGTCATTAATTAACTCTGGTCTGTTTTTGTGAAGCTGAAACGTTTGTGAATCTCTGATTAAAAGGATGTTTTTGATACATTTTCAAAGAAAATGGTAATAAGATTGTGAATTAATCTAACAAAAACAAGCGTCCCCTTGCACTAGTTAGGAGCGTAGCACTAATTCTTGTCGTTTTGTAATTATGTAATTGTCTTATTAAACTGTGAGCCTATCAGCGCTTGCTTGAAGATGGGGAGGATAATACACCGTGTTTGCAGTAATCAACATTTTTCTATTAGGAAATCAGAGTTGCAATGTTTAGTAACTTGTAGATTTGTTTTGAAAGAGACTAAATTCTTAACATCAAAACAGTTCTCTTTAAACACCATTTAGTTGCAGTGCTTTCTTTTCAGGCTCAACTAATGCTTGTTCTCTTTTATCATCTGCACAGCTTACATTAAACACCCCTTAAATTTGAGTTATATTGGGGAAAAATTAGATGTCAGCCTGAGTAGGTGTTTATTTACTTACTGCAGCAATCCCTGCAGCTAAGCGGACGATGCAACTGATTCAATTTCATATTTAAATGTAAAAAAGTTTTTCTTTTTTTAAAGGGCAGGCTATGCGCTAAAAGTAGCGACTGTGTAGATTAGAGAAGAAAACTTTATGCTCTGCAGTCGTCCTGTGGTTCTAGCTGGTGCTTAACGGGTCTTTTCATGCTTTAGTGAAAGTACGCAGAAAACCGCAGGTCCCAGACCACAGCACCACAGGTCCTGCCTGTGCAAAACACCTCCCCATGACTGGAGGGCAGCCCTTTCCCATCATCATCTGGTGTTGATTGGCTTTCATAAACTGGCACAATTAGGAAATCATTCTGTAAATAACTACAGGAATGTTGTAAATATGAACGAGAAACCAAGCTGCTCAAATAAAACGCAGACTGTTTTTATTCCTGTCTACATTTTGAAAATTAAATAAGAACAAAATATTTTGGATCTTGGCAAAATTTCGGCCTTTTAGCAGACTGATCTTGTCTTTTTGTTTTACTGTGAACACAAAACAACACTCACGCCTCAGTTTTAAACTTCTTCGCCTGTTATAGATGGAGAACAGCAGCACTGCAGCCTACTGAGGGAGAAACTATTCACAGGATGACTGGGAAGGAGCTGCTGTGTGCAGCATGGTTTAAGCTGCTCTAACACAGAACCGGGTCCACTAGTTTATATCCAGCCCTGACATTCAAACATAAAAAACAACCCAACTATAACTTTACACCATAACGTCTTCAATCAACTTCTTCCAGAATCAAATAGAGCTGATTTTTGAAAATTTTAGAGATAAAAAAAAAAAATGTTCATTATTTGTTTCCATTTATTCCTTTTTTTATTTCAAGACAAGTTTACTAAGGGGAAAATAATAACTAATTCATAATAAGAGAACTGGGACCTCCTAAAAAGTAACAAGCAACATAAGAATATAGATCTATAAAAGATCAGGGTAAACAATATGTAGCTTATTGTGAGATTCAAACATAAACATTATATCTTTGTTTTTTATTTGTAACAACATTTCAAGAATAACTATTTCTCCCATTGTCTGGATGGTGTTTTAGAATTTTGTGGAAAATATCAGTTCAATTCACTCGCAATAAAGCTGTAACATGGCTAAAATAAAGCGCTGTGATTACTCTCTCAATGCAGTAGAAGTGTGATTGAAATGCATAAAAAAAGTGTATTCATTTGCTACCATCACCTAAATTATGACAGTCATTTAGATCTGTAATTTTTTTTGATGATTAAATATGTAAACATTTAAATGAAACAAGCCATGCTGTTACCAACAGAAACGCACTGCCCTCCAATAAAGTACATTTGAATTAAAACAGCACCATCTGAGGTCAAAATAAACTTTTCCAAAGACACAAAGATATAGATCTTCCATCTAATTCTATGATTTGCATTTGATGCATTTATGATATGATACAGATACTGCAGCTTTGTGAATGAGCTAATACTCATATTGACCCAAAACGATTTTAGTAGGAATCAAACATGCTGTAGAAAACTAGAAAAGGCCTCATCAAGTGTTATTACTTAAACAGGGAGCAAAATTTAACAACAAAAAGGTATGAAAACTACTGACCTATGTAAAGTTAACCAATGAGTTACAAAAAACGTTTAACTGAAGCAGAGAGTTTGTATCGGCATGAAAATATCGGAGATATTAGATGCCGGCCTTTGAAAACCAACATTAGTTTTTTGGCCAATATCGGCCTGATATCTGATATTAATATTGGATCAGGATATCCCCCATTTATTACTATTTAACGGTGTCAAGTTTTATTTCCATCAGCTTTTTCTAATGCACATTCTGAAGTAAAGTATCAAAAAAACTTTTTAGAAATGGCAAAATCTATAAAAGAAAAAAAAACAAGAAAAAAACTCCCTCAAATTCACAAAAAAAAATTTCCACTCGCTTTACTTTTGTGAAAGAGGGTTGATGGAAAAAAAAAAATGAAAGATGGAAACAATTCTATCCAATCAACTCTGACTTGGTGAACTTTAACCTGACGTGACTGGTTTGCAGTTTCCGCTGTCGGCATCTTCCTGAATGTTCTTATCATCGGCTGGAAGCAACATTACCATTGCTATTTGACATGTTAAAGTAAGAACAACTTGCCTGATAGCAATACATCCATTAAAACTGTCCTCAATTGCTGATCTGTTGTAAGGTTCCTGTTTATTACAGCCATACGCAACGACATAATGTGGATGTTACGTTTTATTTGGTGCGGTTAATTTGCATTAAATCAAAAGGAAACACCCCAAATTTGCATTTCCTATTTTTTTAAACTTTTACTTAACAGTCCTATTTCAGTTGGATGGAAACACGGCTTAAGTTGAATGAGACTCAACTGCCTTTAACCTGTGATAGTTTGATAAACAAACAGGAGAAGCAAAAGAAAATGACTGCTTACTTCTTTGACAGTGGTTCTGTGTCCAGCAGCGTTCGCTGAAGTGCCCGTTGATGGTCGTCGATGGGCAGGTGGTCTTTCCAATGGACGCCCCGGGGCAGACGTCGCCACACTCTCTGTCGTTTTTGTTGGCCACGATGTAGTTGTCCTCCACCGAGTCAAGGATCTTGGACCAGTCCAGGGTGGAGAGATAGCAGAGATCGGGGTTCTTCTCTATCCTCACCGCGCCCCTGGTGATATTCATCAAGCTGTAGAGGCCGATCTCTCGCAGCTGGATCATCTCGAATATCACCAACGCGTAGTTGAAGAACAGGTTGTTGCCACGGATGACCGTCAGGTTAGGGAAGAGGCTGCTGAGGCTCTCCAGACCGTATACTCTGAAGAGCAGCAAATAGTCGGTGACCACTATCAGTTTGGGGAAGCTGAGACCTTGGAAGTCCTTGGGCTTGGTCCCAAACATAAGTAAGATCTTTAGGTGGCCTTCGATCACAGTACAGTTCTCAAGCAGTCGCAGGTTGGTCGCATTGTTGCGGATGTCCTTACTTGAACAAACTGAGAAAACAAGCAAATATAGAAACATTTGTTAAAAGCAACATTAGGCTTTAAATAGGCATAACTGAGGATAAAGTAGTACTCTGTGAAGCAACGTCAACTAATCTGCCCTCTATTTTGTAGGTTAAAGTTAAGCATTGTCCCCGACCGTACATTATTCTTGTGTAATTGTCTGCTGAATTTCACCAGATGTCTGCCCTGTACACAGGACAAGGCCTCATGGAGGGAGGAAAGCACCAACCTTTGGATGATTAGAGGGGATGTTTTATCTTCAAACATGTGTGGTGTCTCTAGCTCGGATGAAGAACAGACCATCTAAGATGACATTTTGTTTAGCAACCACATATCTGACTGTGAACTACTGTCAAATATGGAGTGCTGTCATTAGGGAAGGCTGTGGTCATCCCTGGTTACGGTGTGTTGTGGAGCAGCGTCTGCAACTCGCAACAACCATAAAAAAAAAATAAAAACATTTGCTAATGCATTAAAAAAATGCGCCTGTGAGGGCAGCTGAAGAACTAATACTTCTGTATTGCGCCAGCGGTAGATTTGTAGCTTTGTCGGCCCTCACCCAGACACACAAATCCTGCTCGATGAGAATTCCTCGACTGCTATTGTGCAGTTTGGCTGCATTTTTTCTGTCTCAATCGCTTCCAACTGTACTAAAATAAAAATAAACAAGAATCCAGCAACCGGCCATTATGATTCTTACAACCCCTTCAAACACAAATCATGTAACTAGATAGACTAGGTATTAAACATAAGGAAAGTACTTCAAAAGTAAATTAAGTCGGAAAAAAAGGGAGAATCCTACTAATCTTTCATTCCAAATGAATCTCATTTCTAGGCTTTTTTTTCTTTTTTTGTCCAACTTTTGATCTCTGTACAGAGATCAAACGTTTAATATTACACCTTTAAAACCTGAATGTAAGGAAGGAATGATGGATGAGTGGAGAACAGGATAGCCAGGTGAATCATTGGATGTTTCCTATCATATTAATCAGATAAATATCCTAGCGATTTCCCATGTAATGACTGTATATCACCCAGTATTGTCTTCAGACATTCTGCTAAATGTAACACTTAAGGTGTTCTGTACAACAACATATAAAAGCGGTAAAGATCAGCCCCACTTTCCCCTCCCTAAATCTCTTCAGCACATGTTCCCTCTGACATAACATAAACAACGACGGCAATAAAGATTATCCCCTCTGCAGGTGCTACTCCAGCCGCATTCCAGCCTCAGTTTTCCAGTCAACAGACAGACACAGCTGGAGGTGGCCTGGTGAGTACTGTGATGTGTTTACTGCCCTGACCCACCGCTAAGCTGAGCACATCAGGCCAGCTTGGCAGCCATGAGGAGAAAGAGGTAAAACAGCTAAAAGCAGCTCGTTTTACTCCATCTGCTGAGTAACATTACAGGGCAAAAAAGAAAAACAACACTTCATTTATGACACCAAGACATTATTCCTGGGATTATCATGTGGCAGTAAAGTGTTCATACTTCTTGAGTTTTTATTTTTTTCACATTTTGTCAGATTGTAAAAAGAATCTAAACAAACCAGAAACTATTAAATCTATTTCTTAAGACATAAATCTCTTGCAGAAGCATGATAAAATGCAGAAAATTTGAAATACACACTTCGAGCCTTCAGCTTCACCTTAATGCTCAATATGAAACTTCAGACACGGATGCCAGAGCTAACGCCAGCTACTGAAATCCTGGCAACGGTTTAAAGCCAAAATGCAGTGGTATACATCGAACATGAATGCTAAAATTCACACTCATGTACTCCTCTGTGTTTTCATTCAGTTGTAAACCAGAAAGTATTAAAACAGTGACCCATTTATAGCCCCCTTTTAAACATTTATCTAAAATAGAAGCTGCAAAAAAACTTAAAGTGAGAAAAGAGTGGACCTTTCAGCAGTGCAAGAAACTTAAACCCATGATGTGCATCTATGCATTAGAATGGCCTAGTCAAAGTCCTAATTCAGATTAGAAATCAATGGAAAACAGTTGAAAAAATGTATGTTTATTAAATACAGTCTACTTTCCCATATTTAATCCATTCTCCACATTTAATTTCACTTTGGGATTAATAAAGTACTTTTAAATTGAATCAATCAATTGAAATTCAGTCTACCATATCTAAATATATATATATAAAAATAAAACTACCTCTAAATAAAAGTTGGTGGAGATAAAACACACACACACAAAAAAAATCAACCTGACATAAAAAAAAAACAATGACAATTTCTACATCTAATTTCTACATTTCTGTTGATCTATTACAGGAAATCCAAGTAAAATATGTCGAAAGTTATGTTTGAAAAGAAACTGCCCAAACCCCACAGCATCCGCAACCCTAAAGGAGCCCCCCTCCCCTCCCTTTCTGTTGGTCTTGTACAAGTGGAAAAAGGCGAATCATCACAGGGCGGCGAGTCCAAGCCCCTATCAGTGTACACTTTCGGTCAGCCCAGTATTTTTAGCACCACATTCCCAATAGAGAATCTAATACACAGCAGTCGCACCAATAGAGTCACGCTGCAAACTGGAACATGGCAGTCCTGGTGTGTAAGTGAGGAATTTCAGAGCGGCAGCATAGCAGGAGGTGTTTGAAGACCGAAGCTTTCAGTGAGCAAAACTTGGACCAAAACAGGTTTTAAGAACAACAAAAACTTGTACTCATGACAATATGGCACAAGTTGACCAAAAATAAACCAGATGCTCTCCTAAAATTAAATGTTCTCTACGCGGTGAGGAGTTGCAGACAATACAAAGGTTACTATGGTGACAAGGAAACCTCCAGGTCTCCATACATCCCCTAATTTAGTCAGACGAGGCTGGAAACAGCCGAGGGGCTCTGAATAATCAATTGGAGCCAATAAAGGAGATTTTCATTGACCGCAGACAAAAAAGGCCTAAAACACCTGCATCTCTGAGAGAAAGGAACATTTAGGAGGTGATTTGATTATATTACTTAAAAAACTAAGCAAGAAATAAAATTAGTAGCTAAAGGTTATATAACCAATACTTGTATTGACATTAAACCGAACCTTAAGTAAGCAGCTAAAAGGTGCTCAAAACTTAAACATGATGTCTCACACAAAGTGATAAAAAAAAAAGATCTATGACCAAGAAACCAAATTATTCAGGAAGTTTTCCTTTGATCGCCCCAGACTGGGAATATCCTGTCCGAATACTGATTTTCATACCATCGATGCATCATTTTGATTTGTAGCATGTTAACATGCGAGTATGAAAATGTTCACAGGCGGGAAACAAAAAGAAGCCAGGATGCCTCATGTGTTTGTCATATATTTAATAAGGGTTTATTTGACAAGAAAAACATCTGATTAAAGAGTATGGGTTTGCTCTGGTCCATAAATTGGAATAATGCTGCAGTTCTATTTCATTTCTATATCAGATCTTCACCTGGTCACTGTTCATTAATAATTATAATTTTGAGTATTATTTGTTTAATAATAGCTAATAAACAATTTGGGTTGGGAGAATATACATGGTGAAAAATATTGCAGAATAAAAGAAAAAGAATCAATGCTGTTACCAAACTTTTTTATAATTTTAGGCATGATACATTAACAACTCATAAACGTCAGACGGGGGAAATTAAAGCTTAACATCTAAGATATTCTGAAACTGATGAATATCTCTTATATATAGTAAGGGAAGAAGGGAATAAAGTTTTATTTCTCTATTGAGGGTACATTGAAAGGGCCACCAAGGACAATACCCTAGGTTTCTATTATTTTAACTTAATATGGCAACATATATTGCCATTCTTTCAATAAAATGGAGTAATTATGTTTTCTTCCTTTATCAACTCATCAGCTTACTACTCTTAAAGCCCTACTATACACGGTGCTGCTTTTGGATTTAGTGAGTGGTGCTTAGAGGTGGTCTGGTTCACATTAATCGGGCTGCAATCAATGTCAATGAGGCATAAAGGAAATCCATAGAGCTTGATCACATTAGAGAGCCAGACAGAACGAAAATCCACCCACTAGATCTGACCTCTGTGACCCCGCTTACAAAACTCTGCGCAATATATGCGTGAAGCGCTGCATAAATAACGCAAAAAATAAATGCACTCTAAATCATGACATTACTCTCCACACATCTAGACAAATGTAATGGTGAAAGCATCACCTCAATCACAAAATGAAGATGCCTTCTTATAAATGAATTGAAGTACTGCTTCAGAACAGCAATACTGTAATTACGTGTCGGTCGCCCCTGCAGAGGCTGATCTAGACAATATGTCCACTTTGATCTCGGAAGCAAAAACTCTCAGTCGCAATACATCTGCAAGCCTCAGCAGGCCCACGCGGCAATCTAAGGATCTCAGTAGATGTGGGTAAAGGGGGGTTGGTAGCTGTTAAGAAATGCGTTATATATTTTTGCTGGACCCTATAGAGAGGTGGGGCCTCGATATGCATGCAAGGATGCAAACATAAGAGTCCGAGTGATTGCAACACTTCCCCTTTTAAAGTTTTTTGCTGCTGTTTTTTGTCAGAGAGACTAACACTAAGCAAAAACATAAAAAGCACAGAAAGCATAATGCTTAAATATCCTTCCTGACTATCCTACACATCCCTGCAAAAATGACTCTGAACAAGTTTAGACACCTGATTTTAAAGAATGAATTATGATGTAAGATTATGTGCATTATTGTGCAATCTTTATATAGTCCTTGTCACCAACTTTAAATAACTTAAACTTGTGTTCAAGCTGGTAAAACCACTTAGAAAATGACCAACCTCTATTACCCACACTCATATTTCCTTCCGTCCGTGTCCATTTATCCATTTTTTATAATAATTGCTGTCATCAACTTTGCGTTTAAGCTCTGTTTTTCCTCTCCATATAAGGCCCGCCTGGTCCAGTACTTTGTGTTTCTCTCCTTCTTTCCTGGGCAGATCATCAGTGGAGTTACTGCTGCTATTTGCTGAATTTTACCCCATTGTTTTCTTGG